TGTAAAATTGGGAGTCTCTGTTCCTTTGGTTGATTTTGAGGTGTTTTTGGTTTCAAAAAAAAGTATAAGGTGGTTCTTGGTTAAAATAGTTTTAGTTCAAGCCATTTTCATTAAAACTCCCTTTATAGTGTTGAGAGTGTGAATTGCACATGGGAATTAAAGGGACCTTAAATGTACTTATAAGGATGTAAATTTTCTTTGGAACCTCAACTTATTTTTTGGTATGAGAGATTAAACCTGAGTCTTGAGCTCAACGACACGTGTTTCCACGTCACTTGATATGCGTTATTCACATGGTAGGCTAAATGATGTCACATGTGAAAAACGTGTTGAAACTTGAGAATGTGAATCTCAAGTCAAAAAATTAAACTGAGGTGGAAAATTAAACAAGCGAGTGGACATAATAACATTCTTTATAAAACCCCAACCGTTCAACCCAAAGCCCACGAATAAAACCATGATTCATATAAAATTAAAAGCCCAACCTAATTTAACCAAAAAGGTCCACATCGCAACCGCTCAATCTCAACCGTTCATCACAGACCTCATTAAATCATGTTGATCATTATTAACTGGATGGTCCATTTTACCCTTCTCAGCGTATGAGATGAGGTCCGCTTACTGGAGCTCTCCTTCATTTCCCACCTGAGCATTCTCGCTTCTTCTCCCCCAATCTCATTCTCGCATATGTGAATGAACGGTTAAACCTTGTAAAAGCTAGAAATGAAGCCTATGCAGCTGGATTACTAGGAAAAAATGCTTGTGGATCTGGTTATGATTTTGATGTTCGTATCCACTTTGATGCTGGTGCCCATATTTGTGGTGAAGAAACAGCGCTTCTGGAGAGCCTTGAAGGGAAACAGGGGAAGCCAAGATTGAAGCCTCCTTTCCCTGCTAATGCAGGTTTATATGGCTGTCCCACCACTGTTACAAATGTGGAAACGGTGGCTGTTTCTCCCACCATAATAAGGCGTGGACCAGAGTGGTTTGCCAGTTTTGGGAGAAAGAACAATTCAGGGACAATTATTTTGAATCTCGGGACATGTGAACAAGCCTTGCACTGTTGAAGAGGAAATGAACATACCCTTGAAAGAGTTACTAGAGAGGCACTGTGGAGGTCTGAGGGGCGGATGGGACAACTTACTTGCCGTAATTCCAGGTGGTTCATCTGTTCCATTGCTTACCAACGATATATGCAATGATGTGCTGATGGATTTTGATGCGACCGTTTGACGAATGGCTTTGCAACAATTGTGCTTTTTTTTTGTCAAACGAATAACTTTGTGCTGCTTCAACTCCAGAAACATCTGCGATGCTTGTTTTGTCATTACCTTTTGAACAGTTATCCCTTTGTGCTTCAACAGATCCTAAACCTAAAGTGCATTTTTTGTCAAACGAATTACTTTAACAGACGTCCTTTGTGACGTGCTACGTAAAACGAATAACCTTTTTTTTTTGTCAAACGAACTACTTTGCTGACCGACATCCCACCGTACTTATTTATTTTATTTTCGATTGATAAGTTTTCTTTTGCTGAATTATTTGTATTTGTACGCCATTGTTAATTAATATAATTTTTATTATAAATTATTTTTATATGTGAAATTTAAACAGAAATTATGAAAATAATAATAATAATAATAATGTAATAAAATAATAGTTTAAGTTGACATATTATAGATAAAAATTAAAATATAAAACAGAAATTATGAAAATAATATGATAAAATAATGAGTTAATTTAATATATTGGATGAAGAGCAGAGCTTTAAAAATGTTAAAGTGCCACATAAATTGTCAAATGAAATCTGACATCTCTTTTAGATATGGTTTAGGATAATATTCAAATAAGCTGTACTACAAACATACTTCCTACTTTAGTGAGTTAAAATAGCTATGACTTAATCATTAGCTAATGAGAATTAATTATTTATTCAAAATAATATTAAATCAGTTAGCATTATATATGGAGAGCAAGAGCTCCTAGATGAATTCCTATCCTAGGAGGCGGATATGGAGCATGATTATAGTTGATTTTTTTTTTAAATCCTCTCTAAATTATTGTCAAGAGCTCATTTAGGTTTTTCGAACTCATATTTACCAATAATCAATTTTTATATCCTTTAATTTTCAAAATTTACATACAAATTTAGTTTCTGTAACTTATCCGTTTCTCCAAGTGTCCCTCCCTTGCTGCTGTTGTTGCATAACATCGAAATGCTCGTAAATGTCGATTTTGCTCAATTTCTTGTCAATTACAGCATACTATGATTTCAAACAAATAACAATATTAATATTTAAAATAATAACAATCTAGACTATCAGCATCAGTTTCGACAAGAATCTTGATGCAATTTCACATCCATTTTTTTCTCATTTCCCGAGAAACAAACACAATTATCATAAAAATGAGAGTTCAAATTATTTTTTTAGGAAAATTAATGAAAAGATTTTGAAAATTTTAAGTTTTAATAATAAGGACAAAATAAAGAGTAAAATGAATAGTACCAGGATTGACTTTTTAGTGTAAAAATATAGTTTTTCGTTAAAGTGAACACTACCGCGAACTTTTCGTTAAAACTCCCTATTTTTTTAGGACAAAGTCCCAAAAAATATATTTAAAATTCACCCGAAAATGTTTGCTAGAGCTTCCTAACAACAATTGGTGATGTGCAAACTGTTTTCCTTTTGTTGATTCTAAAACCTACTTAGCTTACGTGGTGCATAGGTTGAATATCTAATAAGTTAACTACGTCATTCGGTTGAATGCGGAATATGCCAACTCGTCGGCCAAGCTCAGCGGGGAGGTGAATAAATGTTGATAGGGCGTTGAGCGCACTGATGACTTCTAAATCTTGCGACTGTGTTCGAGAAAGAACATGTCTCGGCCTTCGGGCTCTAGAGCCTAAAGACAAGGCTGCTAGTTCTGCGAAATTCAATATAAAATTCGACTTTTCAGTGTGCTGAATGTCTTAACCTGATAACACCTCACTTCGACACCTCACTCCCTCTCCCAGGTTTCCACGTTGGCAATTGGAAACTGTACGACAGTTCCCCATATCCTATTCGAATTCAAACCCATTCAAACCCCATTTTATTTTCCTAATATCTCAATCACTCCCTCCCTCTATGCTTTTGGGTTTTGTGGTGTTTGGATTAATGAGTTTGTGTTTGTTCTTAGATTAATGCAGAAGAACTACGGCAGCAACAACAATGGAGGCGAAGGTGAGATGAAGAAGGAGGAAAGCCCATCACCATCATCCTCAAGGTTGTCAAATGCGCCAAAGCTTTTGGAGGTCCAATAATAAATTCTTCAAAACCTTTGCTTAATTATTGGATAATAAATTTTCAAGGTTGATCTACCAGCCAGGTCACTGTCTCTTCTTGTATAGAGAGAAAATGGTAGTGAGAGAGAGAGTAATTTAAACCGTGGAGGAATTGGGGTGGTACAGTAGAAGAAGAAGCAGAGAAAAATGGGGACGCTTCAGACGTGGAATGGTTACGGTGCTCTCAAGGACTCCAAAAGTCGGCCTTGCCCACGTCAACAGAGATTTACGCGGTACCAATTCCTTTCCCTTTTGTTTAATCTCCGTTGATTTAACTAATTAGAAGAAAACAATAAAGATTAGATTTTGGTAATCCGAAGGAATTGGATTTTGATTTTTGGATTTAAGTTTGTTTTCTAAGAATAGAATTTGGATGTTGCGATAGTCAAAGCCACCAACCATGTCGACTGTCGAGTGCCCTCCCAAAGAGAGACATCTCAGAAGTCAGTTTCTAAATTTTCAAATTATTCAGATTCGTTGTTTTATCCAATGGGCGGTTCAACTTTGATCCAAAGATGTGAGTTTTACATTTGGGGTGTTTTGTTTGATGCAGAGATGTTGCTTATTGCATTCATGCTTCTTTCAAGAAGATTAAGCAGGATGTTAACTACATTGGGGAAAATTAACGAACAATGAAGAATTGAGAAAGATGAACAACCAGAGAGAAGTTTAGAGAGAAATAATGCTCTATATTCTGTAAATATGACTGGCCAAATTACATTTCTGAGTTGCACTTGTAACTAATTAATCAACTAACAGCCAAACAAATATTCTAACAACTTTGACTAACGTTACGGTGATTGGTGATTATATGACAGCCAATAATTATAAGACATTTGTCTTCACAAGACCCCTAATTGGACGGTATGCCGTGCTTGCCCAATCCATTGCAAATTTGCAATGCCATCCCTTTTAATTTCAAGATTTTATTGGATGGTTATTGGACTTACTAATGTATCTATTTCCTTTGAATTTCAAGTGGGGTTTGCTGAATATCGGAGAGCATTTTTGCTCATCATCATAGACTATGATGTACACTTATCATACATCTAATTATCCGTCATGTATCATTTTACATAATTACAGTTAGATGAAATGACACATGGGTGAGCAAAAATGCTCCCTTAATATCGTTGTTTACCATGCCCTACTATATCATTTGAGTTTGCTTGGAAATATACTTGGTCAAGTACAAATGTAAAAACAATAAACATTGTACGTTGGGCATCTCGTAATAAATCATTAACGGTGCAAAAGTTCATACTATTTGTTAACTAAAAACAGTAAAATAAATGTCTTTTGACAAATGTAAATGTAAAAATTAACTTAAAACATTGTACGCATGTAGTGAGCTATAATTATAAAATTGTCTTTATAATTAAAAAAAAATTCGTAGGTCGTGTGACAACTCGTGCTTAATTTTACGATTTTATAAATTTTAAAAGAGTGATTCGACGAAAATGCCCCTAGAGTCAAGGATTTCAACTTCTGTTGATCATCGTTTAGAGTGACATGTGGCGTATTCTTTTAGTGTAATTGCGTAGTATGCGATTATACGAACACACGGGGACACAAGCGAAATCGAATTTGAAGTTGCGATGGAAATTTTACAAATTTGGAGGGCGATTTGGTATATGTATAGAGATATTTTGTTGCCCACACCCCACTCCTGCCAGTCCCGTGTCCCTTCTCTCTTCCTAACACCCTCTTTTTATTTTTAAAACTTTTGGACCACTCTCTTGCTGCCACGTGTCCCTTTCCTCCACACATTTCCGGAGGTCCCTCTCTTCACTCACCTCTCGTGCTGCCACGACATCCCATTTTCCTCTAACCCTCTCTCTCCTCTCTATTCTTTCCCGTCTCTCTCACTCTAGCACTCTCCTCCCTCTGTATTCACCGGCGCCGAGGCCAGCTTCCACCATATCGCCGTCATCTCCGACGAGACCCACCAAACCAACACCTGGACTCTCCTTCTCTCCCTCACTAAAGATCTAAACTCTCTGGGCATGTACGGACCGAGGAGAGGACCGTTTCGAGTGAAACTTCTCCGGCGTGATTCCGCCGTTCACGGCCTAAGTAAGATTCGAGGTCCGTCCTTTCCCTTCCTCTTGATGAGATAGCTTGGTTTCTGAGTTACCATGTGAAAAATAAACGTGTTTTGGTGCAGAAATACCTCGGGGAAATACTCCCTAGTTTTCCGGCGAGCCATCCGAGTTTTGTAAGCCATTTCCGGCTAACTTCGGCCATGGCTTTGTCTCCCATTGGTATATTTCGAATCCCTACTTCACGAGCTTCATTTTGACTTTGATTTCGTGAAAAATGGTTGAGTTTTGAGCTCGTTTGGAGCTCGGCAATTTGCTGCCCACGAATAGAGGACCCGCGACAGGGACCAGGTCGACCCGACCGGAGAAAAAAAAAAGAAAAGGGCCTTAAGCTCAAACGCGGGCCAAAATCCTTGGCCCAAATCTTTAGCCCAACCAGCCCAATCTTTTGGGCCAGCCGGCCCATTTCTGAATTTGATTGGGAATATTTTCAGGAATATTCCTTAAGTTTGACTTTTTTTCAGAAATTTTTCGAAAACCAATTTCAACGTTCCGAGTTCATTTTTGACACCCATTTAGTGAAATTCCAAAGTTTTAACATGGTTGACCATCGGGGCGTCTTGGTTGACTTTTTAGGGTTGGCCTTTAATTTTTTACAAAATTTACCAAGGACCCTCCTTAGCGTATTTTGACATTTCAAATTCGTCGTCCGTTTTTCAAAATTCAACCGTTTTAAGATAGTTCATTTATTAGTCGTACCTTGTACGAAAATGTGTAATTACATTAGTACGTTATATTTACCTAAATGGTTTCATTTCTAGGCGAAACGCTTCGCAAGGATTCTTGATGCTACGAGGCGGGTTCGACTCGACGACATGATTTGTAGGTAGGTCTTTTCTTTGATATATATATATATATATATATATATATATATATATATATATATATATTGGTTAGTTTCCATATGTACAATTATTAATAAATTCTCTACGTGATTGCCATGATTAAACTTACGTTTATAGGAAATGCCTTATTGTTGGGAAATTATGAAATAATCATACCTGATGCACATGTAAGCTTACTATAAGGGGATGCCTTAATTATATTTATGGTCATGAATAGTATAATATTGACTAGTATTGTTGAATGGTTGTGGCATGATTATAATTATGTTATTTGCTCATTGTTTACTACACCGGTGTTGGTACTCGCCCGAGCTAGGGCTAATCTTTCACGTGTCTGTGCACATCGCACCGTACGTTCACCTTGGATCCATTGTAGGTGTCAGTCATGTCGTACAGATTGCAATAGGCAACTCCAACTCGTATGTGATGCGCATAGCGCCAGTTTTTACATGATTGTAATACTAGAGCGTATATTATTGTTACACTCATTAATGTTCATGTCAGAATACCTCTACATAAACTCATTCGTCGTCCGTTTTTCAAAATTCAACCGTTTTAAGATAGTTCATTTATTAGTCGTACCTTGTACGAAAACGCGTAATTACATTAGTACGTTATATTTACCTAAATGGTTTCATTTCTAGGCGAAACGCTTCGCAAGGATTCTCGATGCTACGAGGCGGGTTCGACTCGACGACATGATTTGTGAGTAGGTCTTTTCTTTGATATATATATATATATATATATATATATATATATATATATATATATATATTGGTTAGCTTCCATATGTACAATTATTAATAAATTCTCTACATGATTGCCATGATTAAACTTACGTTTATAGGAAATGCCTTATTGTTGGGAAATTATGAAATAATCATACGTGATGCACATGTAAGCTTACTATAAGGGGATGCCTTAATTATATTTATGGTCATGAATAGTATAATATTGACTAGTATTGTTGAATGGTTGTGGCATGATTATAATTATGTTATTTGCTCATTGTTTACTACACCGGTGTTGGTACTCGCCCGAGCTAGGGCTAATCTTTCACGTGTCTGTGCACATCGCACCGTACGTTCACCTTGGATCAATTGTAGGTGTCAGTCCTGTCGTACAGGTTGCAATAGGCAACTCCAACTCGTATGTGATGCGCATAGCGCCGGTTTTCACATGATTGTAATACTAGAGCGTATATTATTGTTACACTCATTCATGTTCATGTCAGAATACCTCTACATAAACTCGTGTGTCAGCATGTATCGATGCACACCTGATATGATATGTTTGCTTATGCGAGATTATGTGATATTGGTTGTTATATGTTCATGGGGTGTGTTATCCACACACCCCATTTTACTTTTCACATACCTCTTGATAATTTATGTCCGTTGATCTTCTTCAATTCATCGGATCTGACGGTCGAAAATAAAAAAGGTGTGTGAGAAGTAAAATAGGGTGTGTGGATATCACACTCTTATGTTCATTTATGCAATATTGCGACGTATGGCAATCTTGTGTTTTTGCAGGCTACGGTAGGTATTTTCTTACTATACGTAGTATGTATATTTTGAAAACGATACTTGTTTTACGGCGAGAGGTTATAATGTTTTCAAAAGGTTTTTATTAAAATTTTATTTTCAGGCCCATTCACCTTTGCTTTGCGCTCCTTCAGGTTTTAGCCGCTCAGTTTCGTATCGATAAGGATTCTTGGCAAATCCTAGTGTAGACTATTCCCTCATTGGTATAATTCTCACCTTATCTTACTGTACTGTACTTATACTCTGACATCACATGTAAAATGAGTTCATTCCCTCTCACAGTGCACTCTTATATTTATGTACTTTTAGGTTTAAATTTATTCACTTTTCCACATCACTACACCTTATGGCTTCGTCACCCTCATGGTGTCAACCAGTACAGCTTGATTCGGAGTCGTAATGAACATTCCAGATCAGGGTGTGTCACGTCACAAGTAACGCGCCATGATGTTTAAAAAAAAAAGCCTTTCGCACCCGTATGAGCGGATGCAAAAAGGCTAATATATGTAACACAAGCCATGAATCCACTGAATTTCAAGTGAACAGAGGCTTTTCATAAATGTAGAAAAAATGGCCAATAACAATTACAAACTACTAACCAAAACATCATAATAACATATTCATTGATATTGGTGTGTTTGAAATTGTTTTGAAAATGACTAAAGACGCTTTCAATGAAAGTGTTTTTAGAACCAATCTTTAGTTAAAATGTAAGTAAATCCTCAAAAAGAACTTGAAGTGTTTTTTGCAAAAAGTACATAATTGGTGATTCTTCCAAAATTTCACTTATAGTGCTTTTGGAATCTAAAACACTTTTCACCAAAATAGTTTCAGTCATTTTAAAAGTACTTCCGAACATGCACAACATTAATCATTCCATGATAACTTGGTCATCTATACTATTAAATTTAATAGAGATAATTAATAAAAAAATAAACACGAACACTTAAATAAGAGGCATGATAGAGATAAATAATAAAAAGTTATCAGGAATAAGATAGATTTACAAATCTCATTCTTGTTGAATTAATTTGAATTTAGTATATGACAATATATATATATATATATATATATGTGTGTGTGTGTGTGTGTGTGTGTGTGTGTGTGTGTGTGTGTGTGTGTGTGTGTGTGAAGTTTCAGAAAATGAAACGAAGAGTAGCTTTTGTAGATTTGGAGTCTTGCTTCTAGGTTGCAGTTACCGTAAGAGAGAAAGATCAAGGTAGACTTTTTTTTTTTAATGAACTATTAAAATTAGGGAATCTGAATGAAACACTTCTAGTACTGTTTATTTTTAACGAAAATGATATTTTTACCTTAAAAGTCACTCCTGGTACTATTCAATTACAACTTTATTTTGTCATTTACGTTAAAACTAAAAGTTTTTTAAAACTTTTCGTTAGTTTTTCTTTACAACTAGTGTTTTTTTTAGGGGGGGGAATGTTTTTGGTGATGTAATCACATGTGGAAGTTGGGGGGGGGGGGGAATGTTTTTGGTGATGTAATCACATATGGAAGTTTTTTCATTACAACTAGTGTTTTTTTTTTAGGGGGGGGGGAATGTTTTCGGTGATGTCATCACATATGGAAGTTGTCTTACTGGTCAATACTATAACTATGTTTTTCGTGATGTAATCACATATGGAAGTTGTTTTACTGGTCAATACTATAACTATGCTGGATTTTTTTTTGGGGGGGGGGGGGGGGGGGGGGAGGGGGGGTTTACTATGTTTTTGGTGATGTAATCACATATGGAAGTTGTCTTACTGGTCAATACTATAACTATGCTGGATTTTTTTTTTGTTTTTGGGGGGGGGGTAATGATAATTTCATGTGAAATTAGATGAATTTTGGTGATGTAAGCTTTTTATGTAATGATACTTTCATGTGAAATTAGTTTTTGGTGGTGTAAGTTTTTGATGTAATGATAATTTCATGTGAAATTAGTTTTTGGTGATGTAATCATATATGGAAGTTGACCAGTATCATGTGAAATTAGTTTTGGTGATGTAATCATATATGGAAGTTGACCAGTATCGTGTGACATTTGTTTTTGGTGATGTAATCATGGGGGAGGGTGGGGGGGGATTTTGATGTAATGATACTATCATGTGAAATTATTTTTTGGTGATGTAATCATATATGGAAGTTGTCTTACCGGTCAATACGATAATTTCGGATTCTTGCTACCGCGTTGCAGTTTCATACTTTCATGTGAAGGTTTAATGTTAAGGTTTTATTTAGGGTAAATTACATAATAGTCCCTCAAGTTTGAGGTCTATTACAATCTCATACAACATCTATAAAATATTTCACTTTCATACCTCAAGTACTATTTTATTTCAATATAATACATCCGTTAGATTTTTTATCAATTAATCTATTAAGCGCTGACGTGGCTGCTAAATGTGTGCCATGTGGCAAAACAAATTAATTTTTTTTAAACCTAAATTTTCTCAACAAAAAAAAAAAAAAACCATCCATCTTCCCGCAACCCCCCCCCCCACCAAAAACAAACCCAGATCCTTTTTCCCCCACCCACCTCACAGAAACCTCATTCCTCTTCCTCACCCCGCCCATCCTCCTCCTCTCCTCCCTCATATTCATCTTCTTCCCCTTGCAACCCAGCCCAGCCCAGCCCCACCTTACCTGAGCGCATCCGCACCCACCCTTTTTCCTCCTCTACACACTACACTCCTTAAATCTCTTTTCACCTCACGAACCCGACGATGGCGGACGGGATCTGAGTTTTTTTTTTTTTTTTTTTCTTCTTCTAGGTTGCAGGTAGAGGGTCGGACGCACCCGCATCCACCCTCTTACCCACCCTCTTCCATCCTCTACGAACCCCACTCCTTAAATCCACACCCATTCCTCCCATTTTCACCTCACGAACCCAACGATGGCGGACGGGATCTGGGTTTTGTTTTTTGTTTTTTTTTCTTTTCTTCTAGGTTGCAGGTAGGGGTTGGGGGAAGAAGATGAAGATGGGGGAGAAGAGATGGGAGGAGGAGGGGGGAAGACGAATTGAAGGGGTTTTTTTTTTTTTTGGTTGCGGAGAAGATGAAGATGGGTGCGGTGGGGTGTGTAGAGGAGAGGGAGGGCGGGAAGACGAAGTGGGCTTTGGTTTTTGGTTTTTTTTTTTTTTTTTAATTTTATAATTTATTTAGAAGATTTAGGTTTTTAAAAAAATATTTATTAGCTATGTGGCACACATTTGGCAGTCACGTCAGCATTTAACAGATTAATGGTTGGAAAATCTAACGGATGTATTATATTGAAATAAAATAGTACTTGAGATATAAAAGTGAAATGTTTTAAAGATGTTGTATGAGGTTGTAATGGACCGCAAACTTGAGGGGTTACTATGTAATTTACCTTTTTATTTATCACATGGCAAGTAATTATATAATAAAATATTAAAATCAGTGGGAGGCGGGGGGGGGCATCACATCTGGTAGTCGTACTTATCATTCAATAATACAACAATTTTGAATTCCTGCTATTGGGTTGCAGTTCAGCACACATATGTGAAAGAAAAACATACTTTCATGTGAAATTAGTTTTTGGTGATGTATTCATATACTTATTGAAATGGGTTCTATATAGGGCTCTGGTAGAGTCGTTCTTTGGAACTTTATTATCTCATGAGTATAGACTGATATATATTTATGTATAATTATTATGATTTTTTTAAAATCATTGTTGGGGGTGCAATCACATCATTAGTTCGAAGTTGTTACTTATCAATTTGAAATTCAAATTTAAAACAATAATTAATTAGCAAATTGCAAAAAATAAGTCTGAATGATCTCACATGAGTATCCCACTGTCAATAATACAACAATTCTGAATGGACTTGGATTGTCTGCCCTCCCATTTCGATGTCATTCTCGTGCCTTCTTGTTTGTGTGGTCACGATTAAGCAACGTCAACATTTTATATTACTATTTCTTTTTGTTTTATTATTTTTATAAAAAAATAATATAAAATGTTGACGTGGCTTAACCGTGACCACACAAAACAGGAGAGCACGAGGAGGACACCGAAATGGGAGGGTAGACAATCTAAGTCCATTCTGAATTCCTGCCATGTGAAAGAGAAAATCAAGGTAGACTTTTTTCTTTTAAACATGCAGCACGTGAAAGAAAAAAATCAAGGTAGACTTTTTTTTTCTTTTTTTTTTTTGAGTGAAACGATAGCGTTAGTAAGTTAAATGTTAGATTAGCCATCAACGAAGTTCGAATCCATGCCGTCATGCAATGGCACAACATCTTTCCACCACTATAGTAAATGACCGTTTGCAACTAAATTTTCTTTTAGTTTTAAAAGAGAAGGTTTAATGTTAGGGATTAAAATTTTAAATTAATTTTTGTAAACTAAATATGTGGTTGTTAATTATTAAATTATTACTTAACTATTGATTAACGTATTTATTTTTTATTGACAGTATATTATTTAGTTTGTAAATTTGGTTTAAAATTTTAGTATTAATATTAGATTTGATATATGTTAGACTTACTCTTGATGTTAAGGGTTTTTTTTTAGGAAAACTAATGAAAATGACTTGAAAACTTTGAGTTTTAACGATGATGCCAAAATAAATGGTAAAGTGAATAGTATCAAAGTTGACTTTTTAATGTCAAAATATGATTTTTTATTAAAATAAATAACATGAGCTTTTCGTTAAAATTCTTTTTTTTTTAATTTTTTTTTCTATCATCATCATCACATAGTAAGTGATATATATTAGTAAAGTATTAATATCAAATTTCAACTCTCAGGATGATTACACCACCCCAACCCACCTTGCTTCTGACCCAATAATAAAATAAATAAAACAACCCCACTACCCAGTGGTATAAAACAGACCATAGTACAAAAGCTTCCACACACTTTCTTCCCAGTAGCATAAAACAGCCCCCGGCCCCTACACCAATCAACCCCTCCTCACCGCCACCGCCACCTCAACTCTCAACTCTCATTTCTCATTCTCTCCTTCTGCTACTAGCTGCCTCTTTTGACCACCATTATGGCGGACGTTGAAAATCAAAACCCTCCTTCAAATCCGCAACCACGTCTAACCGAGACTCTGAGCATCCTCTTGGCCTTAGGTACCATTCTGTTTGTCGTCATGGTGAGCCAGTTTGACTTTGTCTCCGCCGATACGGCTAGTTGCGAATGCAACCTGAATAACTGTTCATGCCTTCCTCCCTTCTACATTTTCTTTGTCGTTGCCACGGCCGCGATGTCTGTTGTTTGGCTTGGACTTTTTATCCTCTCTGCCCGATTTGAATACCGCTTCGTTATCTGGGTAGGGCTTGGCTTAGTGTGGGCTACCTACTGGCTCGCGGTGATTTGCAGCCTTCCACCCCAGTTTTATAATCCTATGCTTTATTCCTTCAATCCTGTTATGGCAGTCCTATTGTTACTTCACCTAAGATTTCAAAAGGTCTCGAAACGTGCGATGCATGTCCTATCTGACAACTGGAACAACGTGATCCATGTCATATCTGACAACTGGGACTGCGTGATCCATTTCATATCTGATAACTGGGACCGCTCGATCC